TGAGTTTAGTATCACCCAATAAAATTATTTTGCAATTGAAGATGCCCACTTCCTTCATTTTTGGATAAAAACAAGAGGATGTGACGCCACTGCAGTTATGCAGACTACCAGGTAGTTCTTATCCAAAATCAGGTTCAGGGCCTCCCACTGTGCCCAGAAAGATGGGGAGCTCAGATGGTCAGAGCAAACCCTTCTCAAGGCTCCACTGGGAAATAACAGTGCAAATCTGTGTATCAGGTATGAGAGTGGGAGCTTATGTTATAAATAAATTTTGATGGGTGTTTGCTTGCTGCCTTCCCATACAGTTTTTTTATATTTCTTATGTACATTGTCTGATATTACGTGCTTATAAAATGTCAGTTTTTTTAATAAAAGACCACCTGTTTGCTTTCCTTTTAACACTCCTGCAATATTCAAAGCCATATAAAACTCTGTGGGTACTTCTGTTAGTTTAAATAAGATGGGCCAAAGCCAGCCTGTACTGCTCACACCAGATTTCTTATATGAGCTGGGACTGTGACAATGTGTGCAGAGTAATTGAGGATAGGATGCCAAATAGCTGTAGCTGATTTCTTTCTCCCACCAAAGCTTTTCCTGTTTGATCTGCCTGGCTGCCTGCTGGCTGGGGTGCGTGCGTGTGTGAGCAGAGGTAGAGAGGTAAGGGAAGTGCTTTCTGCACATCAGTCACGAGAAAGCTCTTTGTCTTCTTTTCTGAAATAGAAAAAAAATTGTAGCAGGAACTTCATTCAGCTGCTCATTTGGATAAATCCAGACACCCTGGTGTCTAGTGAATAGGAAGCAATGGGAGGTCAGTGTGTCTCAGTGCCATGGGAGGAGAGGGTGGCCGGAACTCCACAGCAATCAGAGCGCATATGTGTCATAGAATCGTTTGGGCTGGGAAGGACCCCTGAAGGTCATCTAGTCCAACTGCCCTGCAGTGAGCAGGGTATACACACATACAGACTGCTGATATCTATCACTGTCTAGAACGTGTGTATGACGTGTGCACGTGTGTAAGGCTACTGTCATGCAGTGAAAGTAGCACCTTCCATTCACTGAACTGAGAAAGAAGAAATTCAAATTAAAACCCCTCCAAAATTACTTGAAACTATCCTGAATTACTAGGAAGGTAAAGCAATGGCCCAGCAGGGAGTGGAAAATGTAATAACGACAACTTTTATGCCTAAAGGGAAGGCAGGAATGAAATCAGTAAGATCCAGTGGGGCCAGGTGAGTAAAGAGTCAGCCAAGCAAGGAGTGTGAGATGCCCAGAGGCAGTGCAATGTGCTGGCAAGGAGCCACACTGCCAGGAGAGAGCAGAGGAGTGTGAGATGGAGGGAAAGGAAAGGAAGAGAGACAGCACAGCTTTGTGGGCAACAGAGAGGTCTTCTGGTAGCCCCTTGGCGCTGTATGCAGGTGCAGGAGGCACATGAAGGCAGGAGTCCACAGAAGGCTGCTGCAAGGCTGCAAATATCATAAGCTTACAGTAGGAGAAAGGCAGGGAGAGCTTGGTTGGGGCAGGCAGCACTGAAACTGACTGTGGCTGTCTCATTTCCATCAGCCCATGAAAGGCAACTTGAGAAGCAAGGTTTATGTTTGCCCTTGGCTGTTTCGTAGGGGATTCGTTAAAGGGAATAAACTGGCAGTAGGTTCAGATGGATGTGACTACAGGGACAAAAGCTGAATATGATGTACTCAAAAATGACATTTGCCTGTTGTCAAGCAGATGTGGTCTGCTGGGACCTGTTGCTTTGGCAGAAGGTTGGTGGGCACTGCAGGGAGGGTGAATGTAGCAGTACATGATCAAACCTCCACCACAGCCTCCAAACTGCAAACCAGGCCCAAGCAATCCCTTACTCAGGGAGATGAAATGTTTTAAGGGATGTTATCAGAAGACAGCTGAGCATTTCTGGGTTCCTGGGGTGAATTCGCAGCTCTGGCAGAGTCTCTAAGCTGTTCTTGGCAGCCTGGCCTATGTAGAACCACAGATACTCAGGCCATAAAAACTTGACTCTTCCATCTCAACGCTGCTGATCTTTTTCTCACTCCTTTTGCCTCAGCTTTTTAAAAACCCCAGTGGTTACAAGGTGTTGCTGTGGCTGTCTGTTCCCAGTGCGCTAGGAGATGTGCAAAGGCAATGAGAACGATCTTCATCCCCTTTACAAAGCCCTGGCTGGTCCTCACTTATGGCCAAGAGATTTTTCTTCCCATTCTTCCCAGATGGAGCACATGATCTGCTGGAGGCAGCTCAGAACCATCAGCTGGCCTGGATTTGCTTGGAAAGAGGGTAGTAGAACAGGGCTGAGGGGAATTAACAGGTTTTAGGGGTTGGTGTGGCTGCTTAGGATGCCATTGTAGGCATAGCCAGAGCTGTTTCTTGGATTTTATGGCATTTTGTTCTCTGATCACAGATAGCCCAGAGATCTGCAGAGCAGGTTGATTGAAGGCCTTAGGACATGTCAAGGGGAACAAGAACAGGACAGAGTGCCAGCATGCTGGGCAAATGGCAGGAAGCCTGGCTTTATCAGGATGCTGCAGGCAGGAAATGATTTGAAGTACACAGCCTTTTCTTGTAGTGTGATTGAGGGAAGGGAGGAGAGCAAAAGCAGGAACAGCTGTGGCTGTATTTCAAAGTTGGTTTCCATCTTCTCTCCAGTGTTACTGCTTTTGCTTTCCCTATCAAGAAAACAAACAAACACAAAACCAACAGAAACTGCTAGAGGTTTCTAGTTGCAGTGATTCTCTTTCTTCCTTTCCTGCTACTTTTAAGGCTGTTGGCCAATATCAGAAATATCCAGAGGGAATTGTTTGGAAGCTGAGATCACCTCTATCTCTGGTTCTTATGGGCAGCCAGGTTGTCCTCCCTCCACATTGCTACCTAGGATGGCCAGCTGAAAAGTTGGCTTGGGTGGTTAAAATGCAGACACGTGCTCTGCACCAGAGATGACAAACCCTTGGCTTTCTTCACTTTCCTTTTCCAGCCTCTCCCCTGCCTGCCTTCCTTCTGCAGTAATGTGGGAACTTTTTCTTGGCTGTCCTCTTCCCCTTGGAGATCAAATACCGGGCTCTACTGCTGAGCTCCTGAATTTATGACAAGTGCCAGCTTCTTCCAGCCTCAGTTTCCATTAAATGTGTACTCACAGGAGCTGTATTGGGACCATTTGTTTTGTCTTTTGGCACTAGCTCTTTTACAAATGAGAACCATAGCAAAGGGCAAACAATCAAAAAACTGGCGAGGCAGAAGTACAAGTGCTTCACTGCTCTGTTTCTGATGGGAAAGTCTTTGTAGCCCCTAGGCCTGACGTTAAAACTTACAAACTCCTACACTTGTAGCTGTTGTGTAAAAAGCTGTTATTGCCCTTAAAACTAGTCATTGGAGTTGAAAGATAAATATTATTCTATATCTTATTGAATAAAATTTATTATATCACAGGTGATGGAGACAGATTGTCTCAATAAATTCTGATACTGTATTCGGAGGAAAAGTGGCAATAAAAATGCTGATGACTTGACACAGGGAGAATATTGAATGTCATTAACATGTTATTTCCTCTCTTCTGATATCACTGTCATGTTCTTCCCACTGTTATAATCTCTATCAGTTGTGGAGTTTTTTTTATTTTTTTCATTTCGCTTGTTTGAATGAGAAAAATGACTTTTTTTCAGTCTTTTATATTACTCACTACTTGAGAAATGATTACAGATATGAGGTCACATCCTCAAATATAGAAATTAAAACGAGGTTTGATATTTAACAGTACTCTATGCATGGGCTCAAGAGAAACCCTCAAGACTGTCACTATCATCTGATAGGTGATTACGACAAAGTCACAGCCATCTGCATGGTAATAACAGCAATATCTTGCTGTTATAAAATGCTCTGAAAGCACTTAATGAAGGTAGTTGACACTGTTCATTTAGTGATGGGGGAAGCGGAGAGCTGGGAGGCAAAGCGAGCCACCCAAGGTCATTTGGTGGTCCAGTGGCACAGCCAGATTCCTGCAGCGTGCTCTGCCTCTACCAAGTGAAGATGTATTGCCCTACAACTGCGATGGAACTTGATTTATTGCACACTGCAACCACTTTTCCCAGCTCACGTCGAACTATACCTGTTAGAGCCACAGCCCAGCAAATTTTCAGTCATTCTTTCTAAAGATACTTGTGGTTTTATCTCCTGCTCCTGTCTAGATCTGGGCTCTCTCTGTAAATACGTATGTTTCACAGTGAGGTTTGCGTAGCTGGGAACGTATTTATGTGTAGTTATGGAATGAGCTTCTAGGAAAACAGCAGTAAGCCTGTCTTCATCCCTTTTACCCATAGTAGAATAAAGCCACCATTTTTCAGAAAGCCTGAATCTGCCCAGATATTCCCATTCTGTTGCTCTGTGCCAGGAAGCCTGTTGTGATAGCCCTACGGGTAACTGAGATCAGCTTGTACCAAAGAGTGTTTGGATCACGTGGGTTGTTTGGCATCCTCGTGAGAGAATATGCTGCTGGCCTCGAATGATAGCAATTAAAGGTGCAAAGAAGTCGTCTGCCTATTTGCTAGAGCCAATATCCAGGCTGGTTTCCTACTGTAATCTTGTATTTTATCCACAGCTAATTGTGAACGACTCCAGGAATACCCACCGCTTCCATTACAGGACTGTTTCATGCACTGTTATAGTTTGTTGTCAGATAGTTTTCAGCAATTAAATTCTAAATTGATTTCACAGTTGCAGATGCTGCTTTTGTTATTTATTTTGGTCCTCACCTGTCCAAAGGAATGGCGTGCCTCGGTCTCTTCACAAATAGACACTGCTGCTTGTTGAACGGATTATTTTAAGAGCCTGAAAAACACATTTTTACCTAGAAATAGTGTGTCAGACAGCTATAACAGAGTTTAATTCTCACGGAGCCTCAGAAATAATACTGATGGATTTTGAATAGGGAAGAAAAAACATAGATCTTTTGCTAAGTGCCACGGTGTCTACAGTTTTCTATTTGTCCTGGTGTCTTGCAGGAAAGAACGTTATTTCTCAACATAGAACAAACAGAAGACAGAATTAACTCCATCTTATAGCTGCATTACCATCCTGCTATTCACTTCCTGACTTCAGCTCAAGTGCCTACAGGCCCTGTCCTGCTAAGGTAATGAGGACCTTTCTGATAAGGTAGATATGGGGCCAATAAACCATAAAAGCTTTATGCCTCAATTTACCCAGGTGTAAAATGGGAATAAAATTCCCCATGTTTTGGAAAGCACTATTGTAAAGGTAAGAGGAGCTAGCTGCTCTGTAAAGCTACAGACTAAAATACTATACAGGTGCTGAGTACAAAGCAGACCTCTAATAAAGTTCTCCTTTGCTCAGTTTGTCACCATTTTTCTACCATGCATCCTGGCAGTGTGTAGCTTCCTTTTTTTCCCTCTCTTCTTTTTAACCTACGCTGGGACTTTTGGAAATAATTCACTTTTGAGGTGATGGTGCACGTCCTTCTTGCAGAAGGATTGGCTTTGGGACAGTTAATTCAGTGACAGGGAAAAAGAGATATTCGCACCATCTTGGCACCACATCATTATTAACATGCAAGCAATTCCCCCTTTTTTTCTTAACATATAAAGAGAACAATTGAATTTTGCGAGACAGGGCTCTTAATCTCCACGATCAGATTCTTCACGGCAAGGAGGGGGTGTAAAAGTTTCTCTCTTGCTCTGTCTCTTCATGGCACATGGTCCCAGCTGTATGACTCCGTTCATGAATATGCATGAAATCAGATATGACATTGCCCTGCTCCCATTAATAATCTTGTCATCTGACTTGTGCAGCATTAAGCTTCAGCCCGTGGCTCCTCATAGCGAATGCAGCCTGAAGGAGAGGGAGGGAGGGGAGGGGAAAAAAGGCCATGCCTTTTTTTATTGGGATTAAGTGCTTGAAAATTTTGGCAGAGGGTTGCCAGGAGAGTGAGGGGAGGGAGAGAAAGAGTGAGAGAAACACACAGGGACAGAGAGACGAGAAATCCTCGATGAATGCGTTGGCTTGTTAGGAGCCCAAAGCGGTGGGTGTAATGGTATGCGAGCTGACCTTGAATATAGCCACTGTGGGTTGCCCCAGCTTTTTTGTAAAAGAAGCATTTGCAGCAGAGGTTTGGATTTCAGGCTTTGCAGTCATCAATCATCTCAGCCTATTCTCCTCTTTGACAGCTCTGTACAAGGCCTGACATTTGACACCCAAGACCCCAGGACTTACACAGAGGCACAAGCGGAGGCCCTGGGGAAGAGGTAGGGAATGGGGAGAAAAAAAAAACAAAAAACAAATCAGGAGAGACATTTGCCTTTTTTCTTTTTTTTCCTTTTTTTTTTTTTTTTTTTTTTTTTTTTTTTTTAAGAAGCTACAAAACAAATTGTAACTGTAATAGGAATTGATTTAACAGAAGAAGATCGCATTGAGTTCTGCTCCCTGCTTTGCGCAGGTTGTGCTGATAAAGTGGGAGAAGAAAGCAAGGCATGGAGATGTTTGGGGGAGCAAGATGGGGCTCATACCCTCAGTTCTGGGATTACCCACCTACCCAAGACATGTGCAATTTTAATGCAGTTAACTTGCACTTGAGAACTTTTAGGCTGAGCGAGTGGACCAGCCATCTCCATGAGGGTCACAGAGCTGTTGGGGGAGACAGGGAGAGCCAGGCTATGCTGAGGCCTGGTTGCCCAGACAAAATTTCAGCAAGCCTAGTTATGAAATTAAGTGAATGAGATGCATTTCTGGGACACTGGGACTCCAAAGGGCACCAACCAAAACCAAGTATGATTTCTTAAAGCAGAGAATTGTTTTGGGGTAAGCATCTTTGTGCAAGTAAGTGTTTACTTGGGCTGATGGTTACAGTTGTCGTGGTTTGGTGTTTCTAATGCAGATTTTTTCTTTTTTATCATACAAATGTTACAGCATCATTCTGACCCAAGAGACTTATTTCTTTTGTGAGTTCGACCTTCATTTTTATATTAGGAGATGAGGATGCCCAGCCCTGATTAAACCTCTTCTATCTACGCGTTCTCCTATCTCTCAAACTCACTTGTAATTAATAATAAGAAAGTCAAGTCCTGTTGCAACTGCATGTGCTGTTAAACACAATGTTTGGTGATGCATTGGAACAAGCTGCCCAGGGAGGTGGTAGAGTCACCTTTCCTGGAGGTGTTCAAGAAGTGGCACTGAGTGACATGGTTCAGTGGGAATGGATGTAATGGGTTAATGGTTGCACTGGGTGATCTCCATGGTCTTTCCAACCCTATTGATTCTATGATTTTAAACTAGATTGCTTGTGAAAGCCATCCATGGCTTGCTGCTCCTCCCATCATAAGAAGGGAGCGATTTCAGGATTTACAGGGTGCTTCTTTTGCAGATGAGTTCAGACACAGGGGAATTCCTTGTGAACAGGTGGAATCAAGGATGTGAGTGCAAGCAGGCAGGAAAGGACACAGCAAAACATTTTTCCTTGAGATTGAGCTCTGCAGTGGCACATAGCATATTTCAATGGGTCTGGATGCAGGTGACTAAAACTCTGCCCTTTCTGCTAACTGTTGATTCAGCCCAGAAATCTGCATCCAGACGGTGAATTTTGCTGACACAGGAGGTCAAGTTAAATAGTCTGGATGATTTTCCAGGAATGTCAGACTGTTCCATTAGGAGAGCTTGGGTAACAGAATGGTTTATTTGAAAAAAAAAGTCACACTTCCCTTCAGGAATTCTCCATACATTGCTTTTGATCTATGGTGCATTTCTTTTGTCTTTCACTTTGTGCATTTGCTGTTTGCAAGCCTGTGATTTCACTGCCTGAGTCAACATGTGTGTCAGGCAACACCGTTTCTCTTTCCTGTGTGGATAACTGAGAGGTGTAGAAATAAATGAAAAGTTTGTGTACATCAAATGTTTGGGGAAGTGCTTCCAGAGCATTTAACAAACTTTTGCTTTCCATAAACAAAACTGCTTGCTCAAATGAACCTTCCCGGAAAAGGGTCACACATGATGTCAAAGTGAATTAGCAGCTTTTTATGTGAATGAATGTTTGCAAACATTGTTCTGCGGTCCTGCTTCAAACTAGTAATCATAGTTGCAGCTCCACATTAGGAAAATCCTAGCTCACTCTATAGGACACACATTTACTGCCTGCAGGGGTTAGGGTGAATATTTTTCCCTCCCCCAGCTACAGACTGAGCTAAATGCTCTGAGGACTTTGAGAGTTGCCTTCCTCTAAAGTATCAGGGTTTAGCCACTGCTGGAGGCGTGATACCAAACTTGATGGACCAACAGTCTGATTCAATATGGCAATGCCTCTGCTCCTTGTATTTTTCAAACTGGCTTCTGTGTGCACATGCCCAAGCGGATGATTTATCGCCTACTCAGATACGCTCTTGCATAGAGAAGGGCAGGATCAAACACATTTTCTGTGTTTGTGTGTGTATGTGCATATGTATCTAGAGAGAGACAGATACGAAGCAGCCCATCAGGGCTGTTTTCTTTCTCCACTTTGAATTTAACCCAGTGTGTGACTCTACCTGTACCATACTGCTTTTCCATTTCCAACTTTCCATTCAATGATACATACATTTGTAGGCTTTTTACTTTTCCGGTTTGTGTTAGGGATAGAGGAAAGTATTAGAGGATATGTATCCATGCTTTGGATGTTTATTTCGTTCACTGCTTTACAGGCCCAAAGAAAATCCCACCAACACCTTGCCACAGCTGCACACCTGACACTTGAGTCTCTTTTCCCCCCTAGTTCTGCACTGAAAATGAGGAATTTGCAACATTAAAAATGAAAAGTCTTAATCTATTGGGAAATCCTTTGATCCATAAAATAAAAAAGGGTGGTTTTTTTTTTTGCTCATCTGTGAGCTTTTGAAAAAGATTTAGTTCAGGTTAGCTGAAAAGACCTGAAGACAGGAGTTTGAAAATGTCACCCTAGGTGGAATTAATTACTTTTTAAGAAATGAGGGAAGTGTCATTATAACACATTGCCATCAATTTGTTTTTATGGCAAAACTTCAGAGTTCTTTCCTCTATAGGGGGATAAAGGCAAAAGCATGTGCTGCTGGTGATAGCGCACCCATTGGCAACATTAGGATTGCTCCCCAGGCTTCCATCCCAGCTTCAGTTTCAAAAAGACAACTGATTATTCTTCCATATCTGTCTATGCACTCGTATATTTGTTTATATAGCCCTTAGCTGCGTACTTTTCAAAAGTTAAAGTTCTGTAAGTGCAGATCCCTATTTAATCCCTAACTATCCATTGGAAGGTCAGAAGGAGGGATAGACTGCCGTTCTCCATAAGGCTGGAACAACTTGCTTTGCATTTTTACATTCATTTTTAAGTAAAAGCTCCAGTTATAGATTTACAGGCATGAAGAGGAATGAATGGCAAACAGTCCAGATGCTTCGAGCATCACAGATACTGAGTACAAAGAAAAGTTGGAAATAATAAATAGAGTGCCAAAAGAAAGGATGGGGATGGGTGGGGGGTGGAGGAAATGCTGAAGAGCATTAAGGTCTGGAGTGATATCACATAAAGATGTAACAACAACTTTGTGTGCCTGGCCCCTAAGAGAGTACTTAAAAATATTAATAAAAAATAGGATAGGAATTGTCTAGCATTTAAATTCTTTAACTGAGACACAAAAGCACGGGCAAAACACAAATCAAAGCGTAACTTCTTGCCTTCGACGCGATACAATAAGAGCCAGTATGTTGTTATGTAGTACATCATAAATGTCTAGGGATAAACACAGGAGACCAAAAGAAGAAAGGATGGATCATTTTTATTTTACTTCTTTTTTGTTGTCTGTTTTACTATTTCGGTTATGTTTTTCTCTATAAAAATGATTATTATTCTCCCTGTACCACCACTATTGATGTGAAATTATTGCATAAGTGAAGACTAAGGGATTCATTTCAGCAGCGGCAGCCTTGTTCCTTGTAGGTGCTGTCGAGGCTGGTGAGTGGGGAGTCTTCACACCAGTGCCGAGTGTGACAACAAATATATGTGAAATATTGCAGATAATTTATCTGCAAACAGACCAATGTGACTTTCCCTCTCAGGCCCCCAAAATGTAATAACCAACTGTGTTCAGCTTCATTCAAAATATTGCATCTTTTTCCCTCACGCATGGGTGGGCACTTCATGATGCTAAATAGGACATTTTGACTGCTCGTATCTGTACCTTGGGGCCTACCAGATCTGAGGGCAAAGTAGTGCCTGCTCATTTGACTTGCACAGCTGCAAAGCTTCCAGCACAAATGCTGCCCGAGCGCTTCTGCACGGGGGTAGATGTGATGGCACATTGCTCAGCTGAAGAGGAAAAATAAAGAGACAATGAACTCCCAGGCTTTAGTGGAATGAGCCGCCCTCCCCAAGCCTGTGAGATTAAAGCAGTGGATTTTCAAGTAGTTCTTCAGAGTGACTAATTTATATGGATATCAAGGATTCAGTTGGAGAATTAAAAAAAGTAGCTAGGGGAAAATATGATGCTCTCTAAGTCCCAGTGGTATGCCACATTCATTTTACTAGAGAGTTTATTCTTTAGTACTTTCATGGATTGACATGAGGGAGGAATTCGCATGTCAGGACAGATAAAATCTCCCTCCTGCCAAAGGAGTCTATTCAGACATGCATGTTAGTAGGTTGATAACTTATTCTGTATTGCAGAGGACTCAAAGATAGACATTTCTCCTTTTATCTCCATCTCTGCACTCCCTGCATACTAAAGATACGGAGAAACAGCAAGATACATCTTAACTAGCCCTCTCAGAGAGGAGAGACTTTTTCTAGTCCATGCCAAGAGATGCAAACTTAAAGAAATAAGGTGTCACACAGACTAATAGCAAATACATTAGCAATGTTTATGCGCATAATTTGAGCCCAGTGTGAATACTGTTTAAAAGATACAAACCTGGACTTTGTGCTTGTTTGTTGTTGATTCCTTTTTTTTTTTTTTCCAAGAAAAAGCACAATATTTCAACTTTCTCGTTTCATTTTACTCTGCATAAAGCATGCGGAATAGGTTGAGAAAATGGGGAACAAGTGAAACATGTTGAAGAATCCGTGTTTGGTATATTTTCCAACTTCTGATGAAACCTTAGTGTTTGTCTGGAAGATAATCCCATTCTCCTAACAACTGAGGAGTTGAGATAAACTTATTCCTTGACCAGAACCATAGAAGTATATTTCCTCTTCAAAACAGATTTAAAATTCAGGAATGTTTTCTCTTATGCTTAGGTAGATCATCATATT